TTTCTCATTGTTCAAGCTAATGTATACACACTTAAGACTTGCCACTTAGTGGGTGTTCACTGCTTTATGTGGCTCCTGTGTCACATAATAACTTACATTTAATATATGTGTGTTTTTCCTGTTAATCTGTCTTACATTAATTTACTTCTTAGGCCCAGGTGAGGACCCTAAGAGGGTAGAGGGAAAATTGTGTCTCCCCTACAACAACTATCAGAAAATTAACATCTTCTATTTTTCAAAAAGATGTAGAGACAGCTATTGAGGTTCCTAAGAACCTGAGTTCTTATGAGAGCCACTCCTAGGTTCTTATGAATGCCTATACAAGTTTAAGATATAATATCCTATACTAGGATTCAATCACGAACTTCTCTTCATAGGGAGGCTCAAGCCACATTCATATATTTTTTTAATACTCTGAGTGTCCATACCTTAAACCTATAGAAGAATCTGAAATTCTTTGGAATCCAAAAATTTCCCTCCAGTTTAGCTCAAATTTATAATTAAACACCAAAGTCTGATCTAGCAAGGTAGTATCTCATTTTGAAGAATGAGTTGTATCAGTTTTCTATTGCTTCTAATAATACCACCATAAACTTAGTGGCTTAAAGAATACAGATTTATTATCTTAAGGTTCTGGAGGTCAGAAGTCTGAAATGGGTCTCACTGGACTAAAATTAGGGTGTTGGCAGGGCCGCATTGCTTCTGGAGATTCTATGGGAGAATTCCTTTCTTTACATCTCCCAGCATTCCTCAGTTGTGGCCCCTACTCTGTCCTCAAAGACAGCCAACCTTAGTTGTCTTTCCCAAGGTCACATCACTCCGACCTTCCATGTCTTCAATCTCTTTCTGCCTCCCTCTTCCACTTTTAAGGACCCTCAATGGTTACATTGAGCCCGTCCAAATCATCTAGGATAATTTCCTCCATTTTTAAATTCTTAATCGTATCAGCAAAGTCCTCTTCATGATAGAAGGTAGCAATATATTCACAGGTTCCTGAGATTAGGTTGTAGACTCTGGGGTGGGGGAGGAACACGTTATTTTGCCTCCCAGAACACAGACCGGCACTGACTTCTACTGCAAGATCTTAAATCCATTTTATTTTGAACCCAGTTCTAGTCTGCATAATTATATTCTCTGTATTTAGAATGTTTATATATTTTTAAAAGATTTTATTTATTTATTGCATGAGAGAGAGAGAGAGAGAGACAGAGGGACAGAGAGACAGAGAGAGGCAGAGACACAGGCAGAGGGAGAGGTAGGCTCCATGCAGGGAGCCCCATGAGGACTCGATCCCAGGATCCCGGTATCATGCTCTGAGCCAAAGGCAGACGCTCAACCACTGAGGCCCCCAGGCGTCCCACATTTTTTGTTTAAAAAAAAAAAAAAAACCTTAAATAATTCTTCATTATTTACAGATAAACAAAATCCTCGGCCTTGAAGCCTTATCCGCTTTTTCTTTCTATTGCTTCCCACATGAAAATTAGTGTGGTCTTTTTCATTGTTTCTGTGAACTTCTATGGTTTTGTGAACTTTTTTCACTGTCTTTTTTTTTTCTATACTGTCAATCTGCTTCTCTCTTTTCTTTATCAAATCTAAACCACCTTTCACAGAACCAATTCAGTTCCTTTTCTTTGAAGAACCACCTTCCCAGAACAAAAGAGATCACAGAAAATGCTACATAAAAAAATAATAAACAAATCATGACACTTACTGTCTTTAATATACACTTGATGATTTTCAAGTGCTTATCTATGCCAATTCTTACTCAGAACTTCATTAAGGTTTTCGGTTTGGTTTAAAGCTAGAAGCATAGAAGTTCATGAGAGCAGAGAGTTTGTCTCTTCTATTCACTGCTACATTTCAAGAGCCCAGAACGATTCCAGACATGCAAGCATTTGTTGAATCAATAAGTGCCTCTCTATATTTTTCACAATATCTAGTTGAGAGTGATTTCTCACATAAAGGTTACTCAGCAATTATTTACTAATTGCTTATTTAATTTCCTGGTATCATAAAGATAGATGAATAAGGAAAATAATTTTCTTTAAGAAAAAGTGGAAACTGGAATGAGTTTCTTTAAGAAAAAGAACAAATAAAGCTCTAAAATGCTTCCAAAAAACCCTCGGTAATCTATACTCAATGTATAAAATATGATCCCACTCTCTTGCTTATTTTATTTATTTTTATTTATTTTTATTTTTTTTTCTCTTGCTTATTTTATTTTATTTTATTTATTTTTTTTTTTTAAAACAAGGTTTTCAAATTTTTTTATTTTTATTTATGATAGTTACACACACACACAGAGAGAGAGAGAGAGAGAGAGAGGCAGAGACATAGGCAGAGGGAGAAGCAGGCTCCATGCACCAGGAGCCCGACGTGGGATTCGATCCTGGGTCTCCAGGATCACGCCCTGGGCCAAAGGCAGGCGCCAAACCGCTGCGCCACCCAGGGATCCCTCTCTTGCTTATTTTAAAGAACATAAAGAATGTGACTATTTGGCAAGAGGACCGTTTCAGATGTAGTAAGATGAGGCCATACTGAAGATTGGGCTTCAACGTAGATAGGACCCTCTGCATTCAAAAATTATGCATCTCTGTGGTAAAGGAATATTTTTTTTCCTAATTCCTATACAGAATTATTATCAGTAAAGTTATAGAACCTAAATTTCTAACACTTCTTTTTCCTCACAAGATACAATTATGCCATACAGTATATGAAAACTAAAATGGTTTTAGAAGAATCTACAATATATCACTGCTTCAATTCTCAAAAAAAAAAAAAAGTAATTATCTATAGGCTAGTTGCTAAGACCCTTTGCTAAAAAAAAAAAAAAAAAAAAAAAAAAGAAAAGAAAAAAAGGTAGATTCAAACCTTTAAGTAATTTGAATATTCGCAACTGGATTTGTTCCTGATTGGTTGATAATCCTAGAAGCACTTTTCAATCTGAAAGCTTCAGGGTAAAGGGTTATCAACCCGCAGAGGTTGAATATATTTACAAGTATTGCATGGAAAGTACAAGTGGAACATCTTTCTTGAGGGACAATATTGATAATTCATCCTTCTAGGCTTATCAAGGAAAATACTGTGAAAGGATACACAGTGACTTCTGTAGAAATAGCAATGTGGCCAATTATTTGAGGAATTAGCCTTATTATTTCATAAACCTTTGCATCATTGAAAACTCTTCAGATATTCATCACTAAATTGCATATTTTGCTTGACTAAATCTGAGCAGCATTAATCTTCTATAATCTCTTTCATAAAACAAATTTAGCTCCCCTAAACCAACTGGGAATAAACACTATTTGTTTTCTTATTCATCATACGTTGGGTTACTGTCAAGTACTGAAAGAAGCAATGGAATACTCTGTAGCTAATTATTTCACATCAAGTAATTGGTATAAAATAAAAAATTTATAAAAATTACTTGAGATGCATGTCAATTTTATCTGTCATCTGAGTTTGTGTGAAAATTTTTAGTTTTGAAAAGACTCTTCAGAAATGGATGATTAGGGGGATCCCTGGGTGGCTCAGTGGTTTATAGCGCCTGCCTTTGGCCCAGGGCGTGATCCTGGAGTCCCGGGATGGAGTCCCACATTAGGCTCCCTGCATGTGTCTCTGCTTCTCTCTTTTTCTGTGTCTCTCATGAATAAATAAATAAAATCTTTAAAAAAAATAAATGGATTATTAAAATAAGGCACATTATATATACTTCCTGATTGATAAAATGATCCAAAATACACTGTGTTGGATGAGAGGTAATTCTAGTTTCTTTACATAATAAAACATATTTTGCAATGTATTTTGTAATTATCATTATGTAACACTTATACTATGATGGCTAGTATATATTATATTATGTAAAAATAATAGTTTATATGTTGGCTTATACAATAATTTATATTTTATATTATAATTCTCACATAATTATAATTTATATTAGAATAATATAATTATCTTGTTATTATTTAGAATATATATAATATTAAAGAATTATTATAGGCACAATACAAAGATAATTACAGGATATGATAGGACAATAATAATAATCTTTAAAAAGCCATTCTAGATTTTAAATGGTCTATTTATAAATTACATACGACTATATTGATGACAAATGACTTAAGAGAAAGGAAGTAATTTGGAGAAAGATGTATGAATTGAGACCCAAATTAGTGAGGCTAATAAAATAATTTTAAATTGCATATGCTATTAGATCTTCCTTTTTCAGTCATCTTCCTCAGTAGTAAAGACGCTAACCTCTTTCACTGCACCTGATTTATTAAATGTATATCAATGTTTCCAAATTAAATTTAGTCCACATTAAGGGAAATGGTTTTGTTCTGTTGGATCTTATTTTAGAAGTATCACAGGCTTTTACCAGATAATTAAGGTAGTTATTTTCACAGATGCATATAGTCACTTATGCCCTCAAAATGCCATTCATTCTTTTCTTTTTCTTTGAGTAGTTATATATTTAACACACATATATATATACAGATTTATAAATGTTTATATATGCCTTTATATAATATGGACATATTATATTTACATATTATATAATATAGCTTATATATTAATACAATATCTATCCAATATTAATTTTAAATTAGATATTAATTTTAAATTCAGTATTAATATTAAATTAAGTGGATATTATATTAATTGAATTTTACTATTTAATTAATTTGAAACTAAATGTTAAATATAATATATATTACATATGAATGTATATATAACATAAATGTACATCTATTTATACATATAAATGTGCATATACATGTATATATTTATATATATGTGCATAATATATATAAAAATATATACATAAGTAAATGGCATATTTGCATATTGAAAAATGGTTGCTTTTGAATAGGGCAAGGGTGGCACTACCTTTTCTCACAAATAGAAGATTCTCTACAATATCAGGAAATACAAAATGTTAAGTCACTTATGGCACCAAACAGGCTACTGCTAATTTTTTTATGCTAAGAACTCACATATTGTCATTTACATTGCGCATCCATTCCTGTCTTTGGAGCTCTTCTCTGGCCACCTTTAACTCATGGATTGGTTCTGCCACTCGCAACGTTGGCTCCAAAGGCTTGTAGCGCTGTTCCAATACTTCAGTGATATCACGGAATGGTCCCTGACAAGAAAGAATGGGGAAATCTTTAAATGTGGAAATTTTTTTTGTCATATTATTGAAGACTAAGAGTGCTAAATATCTACAAAGTATACCACGTTTACCAAATTGCTTTTAAAGAACAAGCTGTTCTCTGAATTAGAAATTACATCAAATATCGAGTCTTCAAGAAATGTTGCCACAGTGATTATTTTAAAATATTTTAAATTAGCCAGAATTTTGCCTACTTACATCAAAAGACTTTTCATGCTAAAACTGTTAAATTTATAGTTGCGTTGCTTTGTTTTCTAATTTAAAAAAACATGTTTCTTCTGATAACTGAAAAAAAATTCTCTCCCTTTTTTAGTAAATAAAAATATTAGAGGGCAGCCCCATTGGCGCAGGGGTTTAGCGCCGCCTGCAGCCCAGGGCGTGATCCTGGAGATCCTGGATCGAGTCCCATGTCAGGCTCTCTGCATGGAGCCTGCTTCTCCCTCTGCCTGTGTCTCTGCCTCTCTCTCTCTCTCTCTCTCTCTCTGTCTCTATGAATAAATAAATAAAATCTTTAAAAAAATAAAAATAAAAATATTAGAAAAGATTCTGAGCCTTGCTTTCAAAAAGACTTCCTATCAATTGAAATAGGATAGCAAGTGTTTTTTTCATTAAAATAAAGCTTTTAAGTGAATGCCGCACCTCATATATAACTGGTGACCTTCCAAAACAGAGGACCATAATTTTAATTAATTTAAGTGTTCCTTACTTAAAATTCTAAGTTCTATTACATAATAACTCTGATACAATAGCAACCATCTAATGACACAAATACAAAGTCCATAAACTGCAACAGTGAAAAGTGCTTTATAACATACCATACCTTTAAATTAGTAGTTACTTATACTAATTACTGGAATCCACTGGTTGTATAATTAGTATCATATTAAACACAATACAAATCAAAGGTGGCTCCAGATTTTGCTATGTCATTAATTACATACTGCTTTCTTTTTTCACCACTACTGTTGTACAGGACAGAAGTGATATAAGATGGACAAAGATTCCTAATCATATTCCTTATCCTTTCAGATCTCTTCTTTAAATAGGTTATCACTAACAAGACACAGCTGGAGTTACTGCAAGCACTGAGTGAAGACTGTAGGGCTAATAAAAAGAAATGATTCACGCCTCATTTATGTTCACTTATGTTTTACATTAATAGAAACCAATAATAGGAACCAGTTACCATAAAAGTCATGGACCGTAAATAACACAAATGGCAAATAAGTATCATCTAGTACTTTTCACAGCTGGACAGGAGGATTGCTATATTTGAAAGTAGTTAATGGATTTTTATTGGAACTTTACTTTTTAAAGATACAGTAACATGATTCCAAGTTCACTATTAAGAAATCGAATGGGGATTTTTTTTTTTTTTTACAGATTTTTAATGTTTTACTTTGAGAAATTCTATGGTTTAAAATTAATGCATAGTTGTGTTATCAGGGGGAAATTACTTCTTTAGACCTTTTTTCCTTATACATAAGATAGAATAATAACTGTCTCACAAAAGTGCTCTTAAGATACATAAGACAATGTAATAACACTTTTAGCATTGTACTGAGAACATACTAAACATTCACAAATGATACCCCTGGCTTTATTTTCATTATTAGTTTCGAGAGAAGTTTGGAAAAGGTTTGAACAATAGCAGCATCAAATACATGAGAAAATCCACAAGGCTAGGACTCTGAAGGGACCAGCATTCAAAAGACCATTCACTTGGTCTTCTAAGTGCCCAAGCCCTACCTTCTTTGTTGGTGTATCAAAATAACACATATCCATTTGTAGACTTACCCCATTACTTGTTCTGGAACTTACTATTTCTGAAGAGACCAGGAAATGAAAAGGTGAAGCCCTATTCAAGCAGAAAAATTTAGAATAAAAATAGACCCAGTCTTCTTGGTGGATTCAGTATAATCTTTGTGACCCTAATTCTCTTATAATCACATCCATCTCTCTATATCTCTCAGTGCCCAGTCCATACATTTATATCTTAGGCACTTAGACAAGTGTCTTGCCTCTGAGCTCAACAGAACTTCTCCCTAATTAGCAAATGACATTTCCTGTCAAGCTTCATCTATGCCAAAGTTTCTGTAAATTTGCATTTCTGTTGATAGGACTGCCTTTTAGATCTCAAGTGATCACTAATACTGATCATACCTGGAGTGACATGGGGCTTTTGTGATTTTGGACACAGTTTCAAACTTCATTATCTGCTCAGTGTACTCATTTCCAGATACTAATCCCTATAGTGCCCAGACTCAACTTGAATCTATAAGTCTTCTTTGACACTTATTGTTTTCCAAAGTTTGACTTTGTGTCCAACCAAATCCCGATTACGAGAGTCAAATATATTTATGTTCTTTTATATTTTTTCAAAGATTTTATTCATTTATTCATGAGAGACACGGAGAGAGAGGGAGAGACATAGGCAGGGGGAGAAGCAGGCTGCCTGAGGGGAGCCCAATGAGAGACTCGATCCCAGGACCCCACAATCACAACCTGAGCCAAAGGCAGATGCTCAACTGCTGAGACACCCAGGTACCTCATATGTTATTCTATATTTTTAATAACCATGTTACTTTATAGTCATCTTGCATTTTAAAATTTTTCTCAAAGCTTAAATAATAATGAAATTATGTTTTAAATTCCCAGGATTTTCTCATACATTTAAGAAATATACCTCCCAAGTACAGACAGACCTTCAGAGTATAAATATTATCATCTGGAGTATAGCATATATAAACTTAAATCTCCCTAATGATGTATGTACCTTTAATATTATCAAGTAACATAGAGGAACTATGGTTCAGTTCAATAAAACCACAACATTAAAACTCCCATTCTGTGAAAACAAGAATGGAAAGAAGAAAAGAAAGACGGAAATGAAGTGAGGCAAGAAACCAAAGGAAGCTGAGAGACAAGGTGGGATGAAATGATGGGCTGAGGAAGAATGGGAAGGAAGGGAAGAAAAAGAAGGAAAGAAAGAAAGAGAAGAGAAAATGGTGTGGAGTGGAGAGAGGAAGACCAGGGATAGGAATGAAGGAGACAGGGAAATCAGGAAAGAGAAAATGAATAAAGGGAAGAGAGAAAAAGGAAGAAAGAAGGGAGTAGAAAAGGAAAAGAAAATTAGCAAGGATCATTACTTTGTGGTAGGCTAGACAAAGGCCATTTATGAGTGTGTATGTGTATGTATACACACATGTATGTATATATATGCAAATATGTGTGTATGTATACACATATACATATATAAATACTTCCATATACATGTATATTCTCTATATGTTAACATATATACCATTATATAAATATATATATATATATATATATGTTTTCTTTGTGTATTCATATATATACTATTGTGGTATAATAAGAAATACATATCTTATGGCTTTTGTCACTGATTTCTGGCATAAAGAGTTCCTAAAATGCTTGGAATTTCCTGAGTGATGGGATGCCTTTGTTATTGATAACAAGGTTACACTTTAAATTATGCTAATGAGGTGATTTAGGTTGGGCCCCTAGTAACCTCTTCATGAAACTGGTCACCAGAAAGACCAAAGGATTAGAGGGATGACATTTCCAGTCCCACTTCTGATCTCCAGGGAAAGGTAATGGAGTTCAAGACTGAGCTTTATAAAACTCTTACACAAGGAGATTTGATGAGCTTCTCAACTAGTACACACATCTATATACTGGGAGAGTGGCGCAACCTAACTCCACAGGAAGAGAAGCCTGTGCACCTTGGACCCTTTCAGACTGCACTCTGTGTTCTTCTTCATCTTTATTTGCATCCCTTGTAATGAAGCAGTAAATGTAAATAAAATGTCTTCCCTACTTCTGTGAACCGTTCTAGCAAATTATCAAACTTTAGGATGGGGTCACGGGACTCCTCAATTTATAGCCAGTTTGGTAAGAAGTACAGGAGACCCAGAAATTGCTGCTGATGTGTGAAGTGAAAAGCAGTTTTGTGGGGTTAAGCCCTTAAGCTACAGAGTCTGCATAAACTCCTTAGTAGTTGGTGTTAGAACTGGCTTGAATTGTCGGACACCAAATGGTATTCAGAGAATCAGAGAATTAGTTGTTGGTGTTGGAAAACACCTCACATACATCTTTTTTCCCCACATATATTTATACATTTATTATATTTAATTACTATATTTATTATATAAATATTTATGCATACATCTTCCATGTAAATATATAACCATTTTTACATATATATTATATACATATAAAATTTCCACGTATATTATTCACATATATCTTATATATAGTCATATGAGTATATTATTATCTTGCATGTGCATTCTGTAAATACTGAATACAGACATGTATAAATAGAATGCCATGGGAGGGAAGACAGGTAAAGTACTAAAAGAGTTGTATTGAGAAAAGTACATTAATAGAGATGAAGAGTGAATATGAACTAGTATAAAATAAGCCATATTATAAAAGTATAAAAAAGCAAAGCAGTAAAGTTAATATGAGATATCAGTGTTATAAAACACATAAAATCATATTAAATGTATACAGTTAACACTGAGATTATACAGTGTAGCAGTTTGGTTCGGATGACTTCTAGAGTGTTTCCAACTCAGAAATATTTATATGCCTGTATCTTATCAATACCATATCATTTTTCCCATTTCCTAAAAAGTTGCATTCAGAAGTACTCTATGAATTCTATGTATTACAAAGAGCCATCTCATTGACCCTAGCATAAAATATGGACTATTAAATATTCAAATATACAATGATTAGCAATCATTGGACACTTAATACACAAGCAATGGAGATACTAGAATTATCTTCTTTATAGAATAGTAAATTGAATTGCTTATTCTGATAGTATCATGTAAAATCATTTCTTGCATCAACTGAAATAGTAATATGCATAATTCAAATGGTAAAAATTTAGTTACTATTTTAAGTACCTTTATTAGAATATTGGCATAACCTACATTTTGAAAAGAATAGTGAAAACACTCTGTAGATATGTCCCAAAATAAACTGAAATTTTTCCAATTATCTCTTTTTTGTCCCCTTGCTCAACTCTCCCCTCCCTGACACTTTATTTCAGAAAGAGGGAGCACTTTCAGCTTCTATGTATTTTTGGATAGATTTTTTTTTTTTTTTACAGATCTATCTATAATAAGAGTATAAGCCATCAGTTAATATTATTTAAAAAATAGTATCAGTTATAAAGTTAGTAGCTTTAAGAGAGCAAAAAAATGCACAAATAAAGGGAATAAAAGACCCACTTAGAGAAAGTGAATATATAACATTACAAATAATTACAGCAAGGTGGGAAATTACTTTATGGCATAGAGAGGTTGTCTTCTTGCAAGTTGATGAAATAGCTGAGGGTGTGAGAAACCATCTCTAGGATGGCCTCCAATGATTCCACTTTCTGGGATTCAAGTCCTTGTGTGGACTGGACTTATTCACTTCTAAAAAATAAAATATGGTAGAAGTAATGGGAGGTCACTTGTGACATAAGGTCATAAAAAGGTTATGGCTTCTGTTTTGAGAACTCTCTCTCTGGTAGATCTCTCCCCTGAGGGAAGCCAGCAGCCAGTGGGGCAGCTCTATAGAGAGGCCAATGAGAGGAGGGGCTGAGGTATGAAAATAAGCAACCATATGAATGACCTCAGGAGAGAATCTTCTCTTCCTCTTGCTCTTCGCTACAGCTCAATTTTAACATGAAATCACAGCCTTGCCTGGCATCTTGACTGCAACTTCATGCCAGATCTTGAGTTAGAGGCACTTACCTAAGCTGTAACTACAGCACTGACCCACAGAAACTGTGAGATAAGAAACATGTGTTGGTTTAAGCCATCAAGTTTTGAAGTCATTTATTACATAACAAAGGATATACAGAGGAAAGCCTGGGGAACTACTAGGTGGGAGTTCCGAGAATCTGGCCATGTGAACCAAAATCAACCCAAATGTAGGTTCATGAGCCCTGGTGGCAGTTGTCTATTCCAGATTAAATATGGATGGGGCTGATAGGACTGTTTCTCTCTGGGGCTTTTAGGACAGTGACCATCATCACCCAACAAACATATCCCACTCCACCTTAGGAAGCCATTTGTCAATCTAGCTCTATAGCAATCTACAGGGAAGAGGGTTTTTGGTTTTGTTTTGTCTCTCCCTGAGTTTTGTATTGTTTTAGATCCTCTATAATTCTCTCAACTTACACTTTTAAATTACACTTACAATTGTATATAAAGATATGAATCATCAGATGAGAAGTTAAAGTTGATAATACGTCATATTTTTCTAGCAACACGTTTTAACAAGTACAATTATAACAATGTTTTTAAAGAAAAAGGCTAGATCCTAGCCAAAAATCTTATGTTATTTGAAATAAAATTCAGTACCATAAAATTATTTGATTACTTCCCCCATATATATTTTAAAACACTTTGTATTTATTATTTACAATTCAATTCCATAAAAAAATATTCTCTTTTCTTGTCACAAAGACGAAACAACAATAACCTTTTCTTTAAAAACAGCAAGAATATAATCAATGAGTACCTGACATCGTTTCCTATCAATGGGTGGGAGAATTTCCGAACGAGGAAAGGAACGGGCACTCGTACAAGCCAGCCAACTGCTAAGGCTGATGTAGCGCTTCTGCTTAACTTTGGGCCTGTGGCATGTTAAAGGCTTTGCTTTTTGTAACCTCAGCTCCCATGGATCAGGATCTTTTCTGAATGGCGAATTGTATATACCTGGAATCTAAAGAAAAAGAACATAATTTTTATCCTTAGCTTTTACATGAAATAAAAGGAAGATGAAGTTGTATCATAAAAATTTTCATATGTTTAAGGAGTATTTTTAAGGAGAACTCTAGTTCTTACCTGGAGGCTGGCTAGATTCATCTAAGATTATAAAATACTCACTTTGTCTATACTCCAGACCAACAATTTCAGAATCATTCATAGTTAAAGACTAAAGATGTTAAAAACCCACTGAGCTATAGCTTCTACCTGGCATATATGGCATATTGTATATATCTGTATTTAAGAAAAAATAACAGAAGGGCCTTAAGTCATTCTTTCTGTCTTCTACCCATTAACTATGTATATGTATATTTAATCACACCCATAACTCATACATTCACTCACACAAACTCAAATATGTGATGCTTGAACCAGTTTCAGGCACAAAATATGCATTCAATAAATACTTGATTGTTTTAATGATTATGCATTTAATAGCAGCTATTTTAAGTTCTTTACTTTAAAATAATAATCAAACTGGTATTTTATATTAGGTGCTGTATTTCTGTAGCGTCATATTACCCTTAGTGTTCTGTCATTGATCTTGTCACACACTGTATCAAAGGTCAACTCTGTTAGCACAGCACCTGTTACGCAACAGAGGTTCAAGAGATGTATGTATAACAAATGTTATTTTCAAGTTTAGCAGATACTCATTTTCTGAAAATTCAATGGTATTTGAGTACACAAATGGCATAGAACCATATTTTGAGACTCTTTTGATATTTACAAATCCATTAGTCATAAGGAAAAAAAATTATTTTTTGCTTTTTAAAAAGATTTTAAAATGTATTTATTTGTGAGGGGGAGAAGGAGAAGGAGTAGCAGACTTCCCACTGAGCAGGGAGCCTAAGTGGGGCTCCATCCCAGGACCGTAGGATCATGACCTGAGTTAATAGCTGACCATTCACTGACTGAATACCCAGAGCCCCAGAGAAGTTATATTTTAAAGGATAGTAAGACTTATTTGGTTTCTGTTTAGAAACTCTGTACTAATGTAAAGAATGTATCCATTAAACTCACATATTTTTTCTAAAATGTGACTTTCTCTTATTATATGCATAAATTTTTCTGGTCACTATATTTATTGATATAATCAGTAGTTCCAAAGTATTATGATTACTTAAGATTGTTGTCTTTGAAAAACTACCTGAGAATATTTTATATTTCCAGCCTAATTTTTCAATTAAGTATTAACCTTTATCTAATACCAATGGAGGCTAGATTCAGTGTCCTATCCCTAATGCTACAGTAATAGCCTGGGAACAACTCTGTCACAAGCAGCTGAAGTACAGGGCCTCTGTTTTAGGTATTTTTGTATCTGCTTGGCCTTGTGAGAACTCAGCACAAAATAGACACTAAAAAACAATGTACTCAGCAGAAGGGCCTGTGAAGCCTCTATTTTATTCTTGTTTTCCAAAGCCACATCAAGATCTCAGTAAAATTTTGGAGGTTTATTTCAAAATCTTACCAACTTCTTTCAAAGAATTATAGATTATACCCTTCTTATCTTTCTTCTTATCTTTCTTAATGTATCAGTTTTGCTGTGCTTTCAAACACACTGTGATCTAGAACTAAATTATCAAAGACCCACTTGACTCACCTCCAACTCAACTGTTCCTGTGTTAAAGCTGAATTTTACTAGATTAAACAAAGCCAATGTAAATATACTTATATATCTTAAAAAAAATTTGTGAACTAGGTTTTCTTTGGGTTATTTTTCCCTATATAATTTATACCAAAAAAAGGTGCTGAGACATTACAGGCAATTGTATAAGCCATGTTTAATGTCATGCTAACACTCTTTTACTATTATACTAAATATCAAACAAGGTAGATTCATAAACAGTTTAAATGATGTTAATAAAAGACAGTATGGACGCATATATTTAAAATAGTTTTTAGTATAATTTTTAAGTGGGTGATAATTTTTAAGACAATTTTTAGGGCAAATTTCTCTGATGAAAATCTATCAACTGTAATGAGAAGAAAACCAATAAGTATTACATCAAAAGACTATTCTGACATAAATAAAACAAAATCTCCATAGTCTATGAAAAAGATAAGAGAATGCCATTCTATTTAGTGATGATCTAGCTGACTTAAGTCTGTTAATCATTTCCACAATCTTGCAGATTAAAATAGTAAAATACATATAATTTAACTAGATTATAATTTATCAGTTAAAAATATCTATCTACTTGAATAAGTGCTACCAGCCATTAACTTTACCCCATTAGAAATCTTCTTTGGTCTCCTTCCACATTTGCATGCACATGTATACATAGGCTAGATGGGAAATGCAAATAGATCAGTAGACATGATAGCTTTCTTAAATTATATTTTGCAACCTATATGGAGACCTCCTCATGTGTATTCTCTTTGCAATTTAAATCAAATATAGGTAGAAAATATATTTTAATTGAATTTAAAATGTATCATTTAAAATCTTCAAGGTGTCGGTTATTTTAGAAATTAATTTAATACATTTGCTAACTTAGCGTCAATGAAAACAGTCCAGCCCTCCCTCCATCCCTACCGCAAGCAAATACCCTACTTATTTTTATTGATATAGAATGCATTTACTATTGCTTCTTTAAGTAAATAAAACCACCTTAACTTACTATTGTCTCAACTGCTACATTTCATAATTTGTAAGCCACTTGTGAATAATGGTTTGTTGTCGATTTTTAAAAATATTACTATGAGTCACAAAAGACAAAGTTAATCCTAAGGGACCATGACATATTTTTCAGTTTTCACATTTTTCACAACTTAGAAGGGCTACTGCAAAGCTAGCTTTTGGGACTTCATTTTCTGCAATAATTTTCTAGAGTGACCAACACTATGGGGAAATCTGTGCTAACTGTTTAAAAAAAAAAAAAGCCTACAACTGAGTTATTTGCAGTACTGTCATGCTAACATTCAACTCAATAAGACCCAAGAAATCTCGGGAGAGGACTCTGCTAATAGCTTCTTACTGACCTCCTTGCATCAGGCTGGGCTGCTGACTGGTGGCCCAGTGGTGAATACGGCAAATGAGGTGTGAAAGCACTGATTTTTTTTAAAGGCTATGATTCTGACTCGTCAAAAGGAGAAAAAAAAAAAAAGGCAATGAGTTATATAATAGATATATATTTTTCTTGAATTCCCCCCTTCAGACCTTCCATCATGGGAACTTAAGCATGACCTGGAATATTAATTATGTCAGGTTGAGCAACGAGCAAATGTACCATTTGTTACCCAGTCACCCTTAGCATTACATTAATATTTTGAACCATTCCATATTTCTAACAATCTATCAGTTGCTCTTTTCTTCTCAGGTTTTATTCTTTAGACTTATAAGTATTGTACGGGAAAGTATTTTACAAACGCAATTGGTTTCAAAACAAATGGATGGTGGATCTGGAGCATCTACTGTTTTATTTCAGGGAGAATGTTTTTATGATTGTTTTTCAGGGCGAATTTTCCACTCAGACACAGACCTTCATTTTGTAACTGCCTGGAGGAAGCTATATTCTAATTCTTCCCTCTTCTCTTTGTTATTGAGGCTTACTTTTAAAACAAGTTGCCATAAAATAGAAAGAATTTAAAACATGATTTTGTACACCTGTAATTCCCAAAGGACAATGATTAGTCTTTCAATTTCATATTTTACCATATGAGAAATAATAATCTCTCATAATTTGAAAGTAATGGCTCACTCAGGAATGAAGAACTAGAAAGTACATGGGATAGGTGGGAGAGTTCAAGTTTTACCTTTGCAAATGACAATAACACAGCAAACAGGAGTTGCTGATTGCCACACAAAGGAACAAAATCGGAAAGTATTTTCTTGCACCAGGATTCAGAATTTGTGAATACTGGGAGAGATACACAGTTTTAAGGAATGGGGAGTGCTGATTAAAGTATGTTCAGGATCTAAGCTCTAATCAAAATTATTTTTAAAATTAGACACTAAGCCAGCACAGAAGAGCAGTAAAGAACTCTACTAACGAGGAAAGTCAAAAGTGGGCCAGAGAACTGTGAATGAAGTATTTGTGAGGGTAGGTTCTGCTGAATCAACACTGACCAACACACTTCATCATAATTATCAGGACATACTAGTGCCAGGGGATTTATAAAAATCCCACTCAGCAAATAATTGCCCTGCTGTTAGGAGATAGTCAGAGTGTTAACACACTGTCACAGTCCAGTGTTTAGTAAGATATTCTACATTCAATTACTCTTGCTGAGAACTAAAAGGAAACATGGTCATTTCTCACTACAGCAGTTATATGCTTCCACATGCATTTCAGACAACAGTCATGTTAACCCTCAGATATAGTACCCCAGAAGGAATAAGGATTTCATGCAAACATTTGGGATTCACAAGGAAACTATTTGGTATAAAACTTATCTATATAAAGCAAGATTTAAAAAGGAAAAAAAAACTATTACCAACTACACATGCTTTTCTGTTACCTCAGTTAAGAAGTTGAATTTTTTAAATGTTTTGAGTCAAAGCATAGAGTGGGGTCATGTTAAATGGAGATCTCAGAGGCAGCTGGCTTCTTTAGTTTAACAAATGATTTTTACAAATCATTTTGATATTCCAGTCATTATTATCATATCTTAAAATATTTTCATTAAATATGGTTTACAACATTTGATTAAATGTGATTTAAAACAATGAAATTTAAATAAAATACTATCATCTATATAGTAATTCAATTAATCATAGTAATTCAATTCAAGCATCTACTAACTTAGAAACACTTTACTGGATCTAAGGTGGGTACAGACGAATAAAAAGTGATCACTTCTACCAAGCCATTCTCAGTGGTTGGGGAGGGGAGGTTAAGAGAGTGTTTTTGTGACTGACAATAACATAATAAGCCTGCAGGAAATAACCACTAATTATTATTATAAAGGAGGTTTACACCAGAGGCTGCAGTAAAGGTATATACATCTTTT